TTGTGAGTCCAACAATCAGCACTTGCGATATTGTGGTGGCAGTTTGAAAACATGCTTTCTTGAGCCCTTCTGAAAGGGATCTTTGCAGTCAGTTTTCAGTATGTCAGTCAGTTCTTACATAAACCATTAACCAAAGCAAAGGCTGTTAATTTTAGCTTAGTTATATGGCTGAAAGAATGTACTACAATCTGTCTTGGTCACCTTCTTTGGGCTTTTGTACCTCTCTTTTATTGAGGTTTGCTCTTCTGTGTTAAAACATCATGCGTATATTGAGGGTTTTATTATTACGGTTGGGAAGTACTCCAAGTCCTGGTTTGCCAAAAGGTTACACCCTGCTAATGGCAAAAGAAACTATTCACTAATGCTGAGAATAATAGATTTTACAGGCTACAGATAGTTGTTAAAAGGTGTAGGAATGCTGGGTAGCAAATTACAGGAATTTGAGCAGTAAAACGTACCTTGTTGAAAGGGCATCCACAGAAAACAGATGTGTTTCTGTGAGATGTTTGACCCTTCTCCATTTCTGCGTGCTGCTCTGAATAGCTTATGCCTCAGGACTGACTGGTTTTAATTGCCCTTGTGTGCATTGTCCTGTGGGGGTTTTTTGTACAGTGAGAACCTTATTTTGCTTGATGGAGTGGCTAGAGGTGCATAGGTAAGGGGCAAATTGTGCTCATTACTGTGGGCAAACTTTCTCAAAAGTGAGGCATTGCAATATTGCCTGCAGTTGTCCAAGCTCTGCTCTTGATTGGTGTCTGAGATGTGACCAAGGCCTGGGCATCCTTTCTGTAAAATTGGCAAAGGAGACAAAGTGATTTCTTCACAGTTACACAGCCAGCTAGCAGCCGAGCCCAGAACAGAAATCACTTCCTGGGCAGCAGAGGCAGCAACATGGAGTGGAGCACTCCGCCCCCTGCCTTCCACAGCTCTTCCACTCGTATTGTCAGCTGAGAGGAGTCCAAACCACAAAATTCAGATTTTGGCACGATATCTAGACTTTGGGAGCATTAAGGCCCATCTCTTAGTGCATGGGAATACAGCAAGTTTTTTCTCTAGCAGACAAGAAAAGTGGCATTTCTTCAAATGCATCCTGCAGATACAGATGCAATAGCAGATGAGAAGTGTTGTTTTGTTTGGTTTCCCTATGTAAGTTTTCCAGGAAGGAGTCAGATGGCCAGAGTTATGCAAACCAAATGAATCTTCTTTTGTTTAGAGCAAGGGAAAATAGTCACTCATTTTGTGGTGAAACACAAACATTCTCCAAACAAAATAATCTCTCCCTGTAGCCAGCCTGGCCAGCCATGAGTCCCCTCTTGGGACTCTGGCTCTGATAAACTTTCTAGAGAGGCACAGACTTTAATGCACGTTGAGGGTGGGAAGGGAGAGAAAGAGAAACAAAAAGCTAATGGGAACAAAGTAAAACACCTTGCAAAATTAAGCCAGCTTTTGTTTTGGTGAATGCTGGTGTGGAGAATTCTTTGACCTTTGCTACCAGTGGTAGCAAAAGAGAACACAAGACATTGGTCTTCATTCTCTTGGCATGTGTGTGCTGAGACAATGACATGAATTTGTGGGAGTTAATGATATCTTCATAAATCAGGGTGAGAACAGAACTGCAGGGCCAGATTCACCACCACTGTGCATCTGCCTTGCATGTGCGAAGTGGAAAATGCTGCTGGTTTGGTAACTCCATTGCAAAACCGAGTGCCTGTATATGATGCAAGCTCATCATCAACCCGGTGCCCATGCTGTAGGCAATCGGAAGTGAGGGATGTGCATTGTGTCACCACACTGCGTGCTTTAAGTGCCTATTGTCTGTCTGTTTCTCTTTTAATGAAGAAGTTATTTTCTAGATAGTACAGGGCTAGCAAAGGAATACCCTGTGCTGAAAACATCTGCTCCTAACATTTAGCATAGTGGAAATGTTCTTGTACTGAGGCTGTGGGAAAACAGCGATAGTACAGTACTTTCCAGGCCAACAGCAGGAGCAGGGATCTAGAGGGATCATAGAAGCTTGAAGACTGCTCTCAGGTGAGCCATGATGCAGAAGCAAAGCCTGTCTGAAAACCATATGGCTAGCTAAAATGTTTCACTTTCAGCTGTTTGCCTGTGTCAATCAGTCCTTAACAAAACAGTGGGTAACCAAAAATTCAAGTGTGTGTATATATATGCATGGGATTTGCTGGAAGCTGGATACATAAGGAAAACAACAGTGATGGCTACAACGTTTCATTACCATTTCATTTTTTTTTTTTTCAATGGAGTGTAAAAAATAAACATTTCCTAACCTGCCTGAGGAAATGATCTTTTATATTGCTGCCAAAGCAAAGAAATACACCAGTATGAAATAGGGATTATAATGTGTGATAGGAATTACTAGAGCAATGTTCTTGCTTTCTAAAATTTTCTATTCAGTGGAAACCTCTCCTTTAGGAATGTCTGGGAAAGAATGTTTGACTTGGTGAGTCCTGCATGAGGGGACAAAATCTTGCAGTCTGAATATCTTAAACCTCACCCAGTGTAGTAAAATGTGCTGCATGACCCTGCTTTTGAGTGAACCCTGCTGAGCTAACCACTGAGAATGGGACCAGGATCAATAGCGCTCTGCTGCTGTTGCCCTAATCATTATTAGACATCAAACAAATTTATTTCAGCAGCCAAGTGAAGAATGAACAAGGCTCACAGCTGATGCAGAAATTACTGTAGAGAAGGTTGCCACATTCTCTTTGGCTTGTGACTCTTCACAGCTTTTCCTGTTTCTGCTGGCATCTTAAATGGAATTGTAACTTCCACAAATTTCCTCAAAACCAAAAGACCAGACAGTCAGAATAGCTCAGCTCTTAGTTAGATTGCTGAATGATTTGGTTAAACTTTTATGCTCCCTCCTTTCCTTTCCCTGTTGCTGACACTGATGCGCTGAACACTGTAACCTTGCTTCCATTTTGCCAGTGTTGCGTGTACCCTGGGAAGTTCATTACGTGCACTGTGCAGTTGTGAAGGCCAATGGTCTCCTGGGGTGCACTGAGAAGAGTGCACTCTGCCCTGGTGAGGCCACATCTGGGGTATTCTGTCCAGTTCTGGGCCCCCCAGTTCACGAGAGACAGGCAACTTCTGGAGAGAGTCCAGCAAAGGCTACAGAGATGATTAAGGGGCTGGAGAATCTTTCTTATGAGGAAAGACTGAGAGAGCTGGGTCTGTTCAGCCTGGAGAAGAGCAGACTGAGAGGGGACCTTATCAATGTTTATAAATATCTAAAGGGTGGGTGTCAAGAGGATGGGGCCAGACTCTTCTCAGTGGTGGCCAGAGACAGGACAAGGGGCAACAGGCACAAGCTGGAACACGGGAGGTTCCACTTAAACATGAGGAGAAACTTCTTTCCTGTGAGGGTGCCAGAGCCCTGGGACAGGCTGCCCAGAGAGGGTGTGGAGTCTCCTTCTCTGGAGAGATTCCAAACCCACCTGGATGCAGCCCTGTGCAACCTGCTCTGGGTGACCCTGTTTTGGCAGGGGGGTTGGACTAGATGATCTCCAGAGTTCCCTTCCAACCCCCACCATGCTGTGATTCTGTGAAGAGAGTTTAGGCGGTTAGAGACCCCAGGTTTGTTCTCTGTATTTCAAAGAGCAAAGCTATCTGGTGATGAATTGTACTCCTGTTTCAACATGGCCCCGTGAATGAAAGTCTCTTCCACCATGCAGTGGAAGATACAGAGATAAGATTCAAGGTTTGGATTGAAGATGAGATTTGAATGCTACGGGTTTGGGAGGAGAAGGGGAAGGAATCTGTCAGGAGAGGAGGGGCATTCAAACAAAATGGAAATTGTAACTGGAAAATTTTAGGAAGCTGGTAATATTTGGTGACAGCTCATTTCAGGTCTATAAGCATCTCTATAGAAGGCCCTAGAGATGGTTATAAGTATGGCTGGTAGAAAGCTTTCTGATGCAGTGACTTGCTTCTGGAAAATGCTGATTCAGCAGAATCAGCCCCTTCTGCAGGAATGTATGGTTTCTAGTGCAAAAACCAAAAACCGCCCAGCCTGTCTGCCTGGTTTTCTGCCAATCTGCCCGATCTCTAGTCAGCTGGCAAATGAACTGAGAAGTTCCTTGGGATCCCTTTCTCTCTGGTCACCAGAGATATAATAGAAAGTTCTGATTTAAGTCTACAAAAGAGTATTAGCTGATGTTTCTGTTTCCCAGGCAACTACCTATTGATAATTTTTCTCAGTTTTTTTAAAACCATAACATAGTTTAGGTTGGAAGGTTTAATTTAGCTTCACATGAGTCTGCCCTGAAGTGTAAAATTTTCCGTAATAGACAGTTTTCTTAACTATTTCCAATTATATGTGATCTGTTGCAACTCTGTCTGATCTCCCGTGTAGAGTGGCTGTGCTAATTTACTCTGACCATTCAAAAAGCTTTGTACCTTCAGTTTTGTTGTGGCTCAGATGTGTGGCATGGTAGATGTCACCAGCATGGAGCAGCTGTAGGAACGGTGAGAGTGCTGTGTGCAGGATGTGGGTGACAGGTGGTGCAGGGTTTCTGATGGCCCTGAGGCATTCAACTCTGCAGGGGCAAGTAGTCCTCAACCCTTTTGTAGGAGCGAAGGGCTTTGTGGAATGATATTTCATACTGAGAATGACAGAGAGCTGAGGCAGCCTGAAAGAAAGACAGTTTTCATGAGGGATCTGCAAAGAAATGAGGAAGGAGGGTCAGGTACCACATTTCCCCATCTTTCTCAGGAGTGTAAACACAAGGCATTGAATTTTTTTAAATTCTTTTTTTCTTGAGGTGCAGGGTATCTGCTCTTATTTTGTATTTACTCTGTAACTCCATGGGCTAAAATCATGCCTACAGTTACCTCAGAACAACTGCTGTGTAGTAGCTTTTTATCTCTCATAAAGTGTTTGGTCTTGTTTATGTATCAAGGGCAAGGGAAAACATTATTTAAGCTTAATCGTTAAGCTTCTGATCAGGTGATAAATCCCACTATTTCTGTTTTTCCAGATGAGAAGCCTTTTGTAGTGGAAGATACCTACTTACTCTGCCCAGCACCTGTGTTACGAGAAGTTGGCATGTATGTTTTTAATATGTACTCAAATATTTTCTTTGCCTGTGGGAAAATGACTGTATCATCTCACTATATTCTGTTATATGCATCTAATTCTGATGTTCTCTCTTGTGCGTGTTGGGATAATTGACAGTTGTGCATTGGGGCACGGGGAGAGCACGCCAGCATTGTGAATTAACCTGTATAAAAAGCTTTTCAGTGCATCTGGAGCCCAGGTTCCAGAGGATATTATCTATTAAAGGGTTGTGAAGTAGCTAGCCTGACTTGTTTCTTGTGGGTTTTTTTTTTTTCAGGGAAGCAGCTCTTCAAGTCAGTATGAACGATGGTCTGAGCTTCATCTCTAGCTCCGTCATCATCTCCAGCACACACTGTGTAAGTTTTGATTCATGTGCCTAAAATGATTCACTAGGATGATGGTGCTTAAAAATAGATCTCTGTCACATCGGTATTAGGGCTTCCAAGTTGAGTAAGTCTGGTGAGTTGAGTAAGCCCTCTTTTAAAGGTGAGTGTGGTAATATGACATTTTGTGTATCATGTGCCATAATGTGGCAAAGCTCTTGAATCTTCAGTGAACACCTCAGACTCCGTATCTGCTGTGGGATGCAGACCAGAGCAGGACTAGCAGCCGGTGATCTGGAGGTGTCTATGCCTGCTTGTCCACTGCACAGTGAACAAGAAGCAGATCTCTTGGCTTCATTAACTAGTCTGTTTCCTCTACAGCAATCGTGCTGCTATTTGTGAAAGGCATATGGCAGTTGTGCTCACACCCTTTGTCTGGCAACCAGGATGATTGCCAAAAAAATATGGGAGATTTTCCACTGAAGTAGCTGGCTTATGGCTGGCATCCTTTGTTGCCAGTAGTGAATCTCTGCCCTCAGTGGAATCAGGCAAAGGACAATTAAGCCATTTATAGTTCATGGTATTGCTGAAGACACTACTTCTGCTAAGTCATGGCTGTTGGGAATAGAGCAGGAAGAGACTTGTGCTAAAGGAGGTAGTAGAGGAATTCACTTTGAATTAACTGTTGAGGCACTGCTTTAATTCTCCCATGTACTGGCTTAAACTATTTTTTGGGAAGCCAGAGTAGTCTCACCAGAAAGACTTGAAAATCTATCCACAGCCTCCTTTTCTCCCTGTCCAGTAAAGGCACATCGTGTAGACATACAGAATAAGTGAAAGGCTAAATTGTATAACATTGGATTACCAGCAGTCTTCTGTGGTCCACAAAGGCTGATGCACAAGATGACAAAAGTCTTTTTTGTCTCTTGATTTGATACTTGTTCAACAAGGACAAGATTGTATGGAGAGACAGTTTTCAGAGCTTACATGAGGAGTTATATTCCAAAACTTACAAAGACTTCCTTATGCCTTAAAAGAAGGGAATGTATTCTATTAATTTTTTTGTTCAAGTTTTCTTTGCACACTGGCAAAAATGTATTTGCATTTTGTCAGCAAATTACAGGAATATTTTCCTTTGTTCATATGAGTCAAGACATGGGAAAGAATTCTTAGAGAAAAATGGTTCCTTCCTGATATGCTTTCTTCCAGGGATAGAATTATTATTTCTATAGGACATGAAATATTCTGATGCCTCCAGACTGCGAAACTGGATTTGCGGTGCAGCTAAGCAGCAAGAATTCAAATCCACATCCTCCATCCAAACCTAGACACAGTGACATTCAGTGGCTGCTTTGAAAATTGTATCGCAGGCTTCACTAATCAAGGAAGTTTCTCCTGAGTAAACAGGCATTTTTGTCTTTGAGTAGTGTTTGTTTTTTTCAATTTCTTTTTAAAGATGAAACTGTTTACTGAGACTACAATTCTCTCTTTAATTAAGGTTACAAGGGTTCCAGTCCTGGAAATACCTGTATAAAAAATGTGTACTTGTTTAAAAATTGAATTGTTTAATTAACTTCAGACCTGAAAGTCAGGTCTATTTGAAGTTCTGCAGCTGAAGTGGAACAGTCAGAAAGCTGTGGAACAAAGTGGTGGTAACAAGCAGAGAAAAAGCAGAAGTATTCTTCCCTTTGTGCAAACTAGCAATCAGTGCTCCGGGTTTCCTCTCTGTGCTGTATTTCAGAAATGATCAGGTTTGGAAAGAGGTCTGGAGTGTCATCTTCAAAAAAATTACCAGTTGGCAATTGGCAGTGACTTAACATGGCACCTCTAAACTCACTTTGATGCAAATACCTTGAACCCCAACCTCATTGCTCTCCAGAAATGGTTATTTAATGGGAGAAGGAACAAAACAAGTGGCTTGACAACCTGATAAGCTTTACCATTTCTTTATTTTCTTATGTAGCTCTACAACAAAATCTTCCTATGCAACATGTAAATAATCTGCAAATATCCCATTTTCCTTATAAACAATACCTATCCTGTTCCATGAACTAGCCATTTTCAAGGACTATCTGGAGGTAATCTAGGGAAGAAAATTCAATTAAGGGCATAGCTGAAGCAGACAGCTACATTCCCAGCAAGCAAGGACCAAAAATGAACAGGAAGAAAAGCCAGTCAGACTGACTCCTCAGTTATGAATGTAGGTGTTTGAAGATCAGGACAGATAGAGCCTAGAGGCTGAACTACCTAACAGGTGTTTTTATCACCCTAGCTGGCAAAAATTTCAGTGTAGGTTTTTATGGTAAGGAAACTGAGCCAGTTTCTCCTAGGTTAATAGAGTAAAGCTGTTTTATACTAGCATAAGTCCTGAATAAATTCTTTATTTAATATGTAAAGACTCCTAGGAACAAGGCAGCCAAATGAATGTCAGTTTTATTGAGCAGTGAAAACTCTGAAAGAAAGCACTTTTAATCTTAGAAAGGTCACTTTTTGGAAGGAAACAAGGGATCAAAGCCTTTACCTTTTCTAGAAGCATGTCGCAGCTTCACTGCTGTAACTCAGCTCCTGTGGTTGCCAGAAGCAAGGAGGGAAGAGCACTTAGTCCTTCTGTGCTCACACTGTTTTCTAACACTGAGTGCCAGGTGCTGAAAATGGGATACTGGGATTTTCTGCCTTGCCCAGTGCTGCCATTTTTGTGAGGCTTCCAGTTAAAAGTGCTTTTCGCAGACTATGCTGCCTTCATATTCAAATACTGAATGCGTGGCAGAAAGTGTTCTGTGCACCTGTCTCCTTTAGGAAATGTCACTGGTTTGTGTCTCTGAATGCAACCAATGCACGAACCTCTCTAAACCGACTCCCTCTGGGAACAGACAGAGCTTTTGCTTCAGCCCATATTACCTAACTCAAGTAATTATTTGCACTTTTACCCCTTGAGGTATAAAATCTGCTGCAGCATTTCAAGAGGGAGAAAATGTGGGAAGGATAGGAAGGCAGGCATATGTAATGACTGACTTAATCTTCTTCTTAGTTTGAGAGACCCTTAAATACATCTCACCTTCCAGCATTAAGGAATACTACTTGTCAAATCTGTTAACACCGAGTTAGACCTCACTGTTTGAACACTGGTTGGGGTTTGGGTTTTTTGTTTCGTTTAAAGGAGTCATACATACAGGTAAAACAGCCTTAGAGCTTCTACCTATGCTTTAAAATATGGACACTTTAGAATCCACTCGCTTGGAGTGCAGGTGTCCATTGTGCTTTGAGGGACCCCTCGTTTTCCCTAGCTTTCTGCTTCCTGAAATGTGGCAAGCTTCAAGGTTTGCAGGCCAAAAAAAAAGGCAAGGGATTCCGGAAATTAAACTGCATGGGTTCTGCCGTAGTCTGTCTTTTGCTTAATTGCTTGTGCTTTCTAATATCAGAGTACAGACATGACTGTAAATGTTTTTATATCTCCTTTTCTTTGGCACTCAAGGAATTGCTGGTTTAGGTTCCCAAAATAAAATTGCTGCAAGTGCTTGTATTTTGTTTTTTAACATGAGTTTCCAGGCTTTCCTAGTACTTCACTGCAGTTCTCATCTCTGTTGAAAGGTAGCTGATTTTTCTTTTCAAAAGAAAACAGAAGAAGGTGTGAGAGAGACTTGTAAAGATGCTTTTGTTGCAGAGAATCTTTCATCATTTCCATTTTGAAGTATGTTTTGGGAAGACTTGCAGTCACATAAAAGTGATCTCAGTTGGATCAGATGGAGCAAAATCTCAATTTAAAAAAGAATCAAAATTCTTCTCAGTTGGCCCAGTTATTTTCAAGCCTGAGGCATGAAACAGTCCATAGGAGGTCTTTGGGGATTTAATTTTGTTTTTCTTCCTTGGGATTTTCAATATGAGTTTTTCCAGGCAAGAGTCAATTACATATGGGAGGCTTTTTTAAATCCCCTGTGATAACTATCAGCCTGGAATTTGCCCAGGCACGTTAGCCAACAAATGAAATTACAAATGCAAGGCCTGTCTGATGCATAAAGAAGTATCAGTCAGAACAAAGCTTAACTCCCCAATCTTGTGCAGGGACCTTTAGTTAAAGGTGGAGTTGTCATTTTCTGGGGATGGTAAAAAAAACAAAAACAAAAACAAAAACAAAAACCAAAGGGAAGCAGTAGAATTGCATGGGGTTGCTCAGTTTTCAGAGTACAGACTTTACCCCAGAGAAGAGTGAAAGAAAGAAAAAAGATAGAACCAGGTTAGTAGAAGAGATTTCTTTTTTGTTTTGGTGAATGTGACTCCCTCTTTCACCCTTGTGTTAATTTCTCAGGAATAGTGCTTTTGTTGTGGTTTGGCTTTTTTGATGGTTTTGGTGGCTTTAAAGTCTAATGGGAAACCTGCTGGACAGTGCTTGATGCCTTCAAGATGACCAAGTGTCAGAGCATATATCTATTTGTCAGGAGTGGAGAATAAAGGCATGAGGAGAGAGACCAGAGTATTGAGCCACCGCTCTGAGATTAGAAAGCAAGCCTACCCCAGTTAATCATGTCCCACCTAGGGGCTGCAGCATACATCCTCACAGATTCCCAAGTGGTGCAAGGCAGGAAGAGGCATGTACTTCAGGGGATAAGAAATGGGGAGGGTTGTGTCCTGCTCACTCTCGCAGGGGGCCTGCAGCAGCCCTGGAGAGCAGGACTCGGTAGGCAAGGGCCTGTATGTCATTGAGGAGCTCTGTGGGGTTTTGCTTGCTGGAGGAATGCAGTGATTTCCATTTATCTGTCAAAAATGGGCCAGACACAGAAGCTGCTGTGTTTGGGCAAAGCATTTGTTTTATTAAATTATGGAATGCAGATGAAACCCTCTAGCTTAGGGCAGAATGATACTCTGTGTAAATACTGAGCTTGCTTGTACCCTCTCAGTAGATGGCCAGTACTATTCTTCATTCAAAGGTCTTGCTGACTGCACAGCCCAGACTGGGATTACTGGCTGGCTTCTGGTAAAGCTGCTCACAGTGGCTGGGTTTATTTCAGAAGCGGGAGGGTAACACTGTGTAAATCAGG